CTAACCAGAAAGGTTACTGAAAAGCACCTCCATTTCCTATGCTGCCAGGGCTCACATGGGAAAGGCTGGTGTTTAACGCAGCAGAATGTTCCCTGAACAGCAGGACTCAGCCGAACTATCACAGTATCTGTCAGCATTTGCTACACTAAATAAGATTAGCTGAATCAAAACAGATGTTTTAGAAGTAGCACTTTAAATGCTTGAAATGTATAGCAGAACAAAAATAAAAAGCGATGGGCTGATAGCTATACTGGCTTTTCCTTTTTTGGAAGGTTGTATTAGGAAAGCTCAGGGTCCTTGGGGAACCAGGCTGCCCTCCGTTGTTGTCTCATCCCAGGTTTTCAAGCCCAGTCAGCACCTGAGAGTGCAGTTCTAGAGCGCAACAGCTTTGACTGACTCCTGGCTCCCAACTCACCATCTATGTGTATTTGCGGACGTCCCGTAACTTCCCTGGGCCTCAGTTTCCGCATCTGTACATTGAGGGTAGATAATAGCACCTATCCACTGCACATGAAGCACGAGAACAGAGCCCGGCACACGGTCCAGCTCTGTGACCATCAGGGCCAATCTGTCTTCATGGCACCTCATGTATTCGCCAGATCTGACAATCACTTGGGTTTTCTTGAAATCAATAAATTTATATTAAGATACCATTTATATCCCTGTTATACCATCATTAGTAATTATATTTTTCTAATAGGTAAAATAAACACATAGCTGTTCAAGTAGAAAATGCTGGTTTGCACTCTGCCTTGAATCAGCTGAAGTGGCACCAGCAGCACAAATAACCACGCTGGGAGATGCTGATCAAACCAACCTTGAACACAGCTACTACACACATGTCCCCTGCTGGAAAGTGTAGTGTGCACAGTGTCAGCTAGAAACCCCTCTACTGCCCCTTTAATAAATGAGCCAAGTAGCACTGACTGTGGCCAGTCAGCATATCCGTGAAGCCTGCAACCACTCGCCGGGACTACCACATGCAGTAATCACTTGACAGAAACCTCTGGAAAGGAACTAAACTCAGAAACCAGAACTTGCACCATGGTTTGAATCTCAGACACATTTGCCCAAGAAAAGGAACTGTTAAGCACAGCAAGGTCACCCGGCAGAGATCTGCAGCTGTTCTCCACGATGTCTCCATCAGTTTTGGCCAGCCCAAGCCTCTTTTGAGAAGTAGAACATAAGTGCCTGGGGTCCAACAGGAATGAAAGTCTCACCTTCTCTGCATGATCTTCGGAAGGTCAAGGTAGAGTCAATTTCATTCTTAATCTTGATTAAAGCATCCAATACCATAGGGCCACACCTGACAAAGAAAAAAAAAAAACCCAGTTGTATTTATATAAAGCTCAACCTCCCTACACTTTATCATAACATGATCTGAGACACCTGGATATAGCAGCAGCTCCTCTTATCCATTTGGCCTTCTCAAGTCACCCTCAGAATTTTCCCCATTAACTTCAGTTAATGCACATTCTTACAAATTTTGCACATTCTTACAAATTTTAAGTACTGCACAGTTCTATTTTGGTGACCACATTGCACATACCTTTCTCAGAAATGAAAAGTAGTAGAAGTAGTAGAGAAGTATGTAGGTTAGGAAACAACTTCCATACACAGGCAATTTTTGTTTTTTACTTCTAAAACTCCCTGCTAAGTTTTCCCAAATAATTTATTTCAAATTCTAGTTTTATTGTTAGGATGTAGATAATAAATATCTTTAAATGGCACATAACCATAACAGGAAATGTGGTATAGAGCAGTGGTCCCCAACCTTTTCAGCACCAGGGACTGGTTTCATGGAAGACAATTTTTCCATGGACGGGGG